ACAGCATACCAAATAACACCAAATATTTAAAAAGTCAAATTTCAAACACAAAAGTAAAACACTGCAGATGCTGTAAATTTGAAATAAAAATCAAAATGCTGCAAATGTTCAGCAGGCCAGACAACACCTGTGGAGAGAAACACTGTTATTGTTTTAGTTCAATGACCTTTCGTCATAAAATTAAATCATAAAAGTTCACAGGATCAGTTACACTCTCACTTTACACCCTCCACAGACTTAAGACATTTTAGTATTCATTCATTCAGGATGAGGGTGTGGCTGGCTTGGCCAGCATTTATTACCCATTCCCAATAGTTAAGAATCAAGCACATTGCTGTGGGTCTGGACTCACATCTAGGCCAGAGCGGTTTAGGAATACAATTTATTTCCCTGAAAACACATCAATGAACCAGAAGGAGCTTTACAACAATCAACAGTGAGTCACATCGTCATTTTTAGACTCGTATTTTGAGAATTTAATTTATTTCAAATTCCACCATCTGCCATGGTGAGATTCGAACCCTGGTTCCCAGAATGTTACCTGGATCTCTGGATTAACAGTCTAGCAATAATACCACGAGCCGTTGCCTCCCATGTAGAATGATTTCTTACCATATACCTGCAGCCGTGTCTCTTTCTGTACCAGATACTGCAAAGCGGGTTCTGACATGTATTTCACCAGACACAGGTAATGATGATTGTCCCTCACATTTAGCTGGTTTATCTTTGTCGAGACATTTCCTTCCTTTGGCTTCTCAATGAGCTCATACCAATTTCCACCAGGTACAGTTGACCAATTTCGCTGTGATTGGTTGGAGTCTCTTGTCTTGATGATACAGGGTAAAGTAACTGAATCTCCCTCTATACCACTCACCACTGAGATATTTCCCTGAGCAGCTGAGGAAGGGACAAACATCAGAATGATTGAGTTCCGTGTGCAGACGTTCTCAATTCAATTTGTTAAATTTCTTTCAACTTCACAATAAAATCAGCAATTAAACACCCCACACATGTTTACCACAGGTCTGGACAAGCCTGTTGTAGTCCAGCAACACAATATCAGAATGGTGCATTGCCTCCCAGGTACTATGGTAAAGAATGTCTGGTAGAAGGTGCAGAATGCTCTAAAAGGAGGGAGAGACCATCCGGAGGTTGCTGTACACATTGGATCCAATGATATAGGAAGAGAAAAGGGTGAGGTTCTGAGAAGACAATACAGGTAGTAAGGCAGGAGGTTAAAAAGTAGGTCCTTGAGTGGAGTAATATCTGGATTACACCCAGTGCCACGTGCTGGTCATAATAGGAATAGAAAGATAGAGCAGATGAATAATTGCCTCGGAGCTGGTGCGTAGGAAAAGGATACAAATTTTTGGATCATTGGAATCTATTCTGGGGTAGAAGTAACCTATATAAAAAGGATCTGTTGAGGCTGGATTGGGAGGGGACTAATGTACTGGAAGGGAGATTTGCTGGAACCACAAGGAAGGAGGTGGGTTTTGGGGGTTGCAGGGTGATGGTGAGAAAACGGATCAGTCTGAGTCTGATGCAGTCGGGTAAAGCAGCAACTCAAAACATCAACATAGGCGGCACAAAGCAGGGAGTGAGGTAGAACTGATAAATTAAAATGCATTTGTTTCAATGCAAGAGGACTGGCAAGCAAGACAGATGAACTCAGGGCATGGGATATCATAGCTACTACAGAGGCTTGGTTCAGGGTTGGACAGGACTGACAGTTTAATGTTCCAGTGTACAGATGTGATAGGAAGGATAGAAAGGGGGTGGGGGGGGGCAAGAGAGGAGGGTATGTGGAACTTTTGATTCGAATAACATTACACTGTACTGAGGCAGGATATTCCAAGTTGTGCGTCCAGTGAAGTTAATTGGGTGGAATTGAGAAATTAAAAGGGATGATCCCTTCATTGAGATTGAGACCCCTCGTAGTCAGCAGGAAATTGAGAAGCCAATAAAAATAATAGGTTGGTAATGTAAGGGGATTTTAACTTTTCAACATAAACTGGGACTTTCATTATGTTTAGGGATCGGATGGAGAGGAATTTGTGAAGTGTGTACAAGAAAATGTTCTTATTCAGTGTGTGAATGTACCTAGCAGAGAAGAAGCAAAACCTGACCTTCTCTGGGGAAATAAGGCAGGGCAAGTGAACGAAATGTCAGTGTGGGAGCACTTTGGGGCAAGTGATCATAATTCTATTTGTTTTAATATAGTTATAGAAAAGGATAGATCTGATCTAAAAGTTAAATACCTAAATTCGAGAAAAGTCAATTTTGACGGTATTAGACAAAAACTTACAACAGTCAATTGGGGGCAGATATTTGCAGATAAAGGGATGGCTGGAAAGTTGGAAGCCTTCAAGAAGATATAGCGAGAGTCCAGAGACAGTATGTTCCTGTCAGGGTGAAGGGCAAGGCTGGTAGGTGTAGAGATGCTGGGTGACTAGAGAAATTGAGGTCATGATCAAGAAAAAGAAGGAAGCCTATGTCAGGTATAGATAGTAGCGATTGAGTGAATCCCCAGAGGAGTGTAAGGGCGGTAGGAGTATACTTAAGAGGGAACTCAGGAGGGCAAAAGGAGGCCACAACATACCTTTGGCAAATAGGGTTAAGGATAAAACAAAGGGTTCCTAGAAACACATTAGGGACAAAAGATTAACTGGGGAGAGAATAAAGCCACTTAAAAGATTAGCAAGGCCACCTATGTGTGGAAGTGCAGGAAATGGGTGAGATATTAAATAAGCATTTTTCATCAGTGTTTACTATAGAGAAGGATATGGAAGCTCAAGAACTTGGGGAAATTAATAGCGATATCTTGAAATGTATCCATATGCCAGAGAAGGAGACGCTGGGAGTCATAAAAAGCATAAAGGTGGATAAATTCCCAAGACCAGATCAGGTATATCCTAGAACTTCGTGGGAAGCTAGGGAAGTGATTGGTGGGCCCCTTGCTGAGATATATTTGTACCATAGCCATGGGTGAGGTACCAGAAGATTGGAGTTTGGCTAACGTGTAGCATTATTTAAGAAAGAAGGGAAGGAAAAGGCAGGGAACTAATGACGGGTGAGCCGGTGGCAGGCAAGTTGTTGGAGGGGATTTTGCAGGACAGGATTTACATGTATTTGGAAAGGCAAGGGCTGATTAGGGATAGACAACATGGCTTTGTGTGTGGGAAGTCGTGTCTCACTAACTACATTGAATTGTTTGAACAAGTGACGAAAAGATTTGATGAAGGCAAAGTGGTAGGTGTTGTTTACATGGACTTGAATAAGGTGTTTACCAAGGTTCCTCATGGTAGACTGGTTAATAAAGATGAGATCACATGGAATACAGTGAGAGCTATCCATCTGGATACATGACTGCCTTGAAGGTAGGAGACAGAGGGTGGTGGTGGAGGGTTATTTTTTGTACTGAAAGACTGTGACCAGCGGTCTGCTACAAGGTTTGGTGTGGGGTCCACTGCTGTTTTGTTGTTTATATAAATGATTTGGATTTGAATATAACAGGTATGGTTTGTCAGTTTGCAGATAACACCAAAACTGGTTGTGCAGTGGACAGCAAAGAAGACTACCTCAGAGTACAATGGGATCTTGATCAAATGGGCCAATGGACCAAGAAGTGGCAAATGGAGTTTAATCTAGATAAATGTGAGATGCTGCATTTTGATAGGGCAAATCAGGGCAGGGCTTCTACACTTAATGATAAGACCAGGTGAGTGTTGGTGAACTAAGAGATCTTGGAGTACAGGTTCATACTTCTTTGAAAGTGGAATCAGAGGTAGACAGGGTAGTGAGGAAGGCACTTGGTACGCTTGCCTTTATTGGTCAGTACATTGAGTATAGGGGTTGGGAGGTCATGCTGTGGCTATACAGGACACTGGTTAGGCCACTTTTGGAATACTGCGTTCACTTCTGGTCTCCCTGCTGTAGGAAAGATGTTGCTAAATTTGAAAGGGTTCAGAAAAGATTTACAAGGATGTTACCAGGGTTGGAGGGTTTGAGAATAGAGAGAGACTGAAAAGGCTGGGGCTACTTTCCCTAGAGCATCAGGGGCTGAGGTGTAACCTTTTAGAACGATGAATAGTCAAGATCTTTCCCCCAGGGAAGGGGAGTCCAAACTAAAGGGTATAGTTTTAAGGTGAGAGGGGAAAGACTTAAAAGGGAGCAACGGGCCAACTTTTTCACACAGAGGATGGTGCATGAATGGAATGAACTGCCAGGGGATGTGGTGGAGGCTGGTACAACTACAACAATTGAAAGGCACCTGGATGGTATATGAAGAGGAGAGTTTAGAGCGATATGGGACAAATGCTGGCAAATGGAACTAGGTTAATTTTGGAATTCTGTTTGGCACGGATGAGTTGGACCAGAGTGTCTGTTTTCATGTCGTATGTCTCTATGACTCTGTAACATTCCTTTTATACTTTGTACAGGTTTTGTGCAACTGTGTGTCTTCCTTGGTCATTTCTGACGGTGTCTTAGAGTCAAATCTGTTGCTGTGGGACTGGAATCACATGCAGACCAGACCAGGTAAGAATGGCAATTCCCTTTCTTAAAGAACGTCAGTGAACCACATGGATTTTTTCCAACAATTGATGGTGGTTTCATGGTTTCCACTGGGTTAGTGTTTAATTCCAGATGAAATAACTGAATTAAAATTCAAGCAGCTGCCATTGTGGGAAGTGAAACTCTGTCCCCAGTGTATTGGATTGCTCATGAATTAGCTTTACCATTAGTTCACTGCCTCTCATTATAACCGCTTCCCCGATCTCACTAAATAACAGACTCAGAATAGAGTCTCCAAGTTTCAGTTCCTAACACTGACATTTATTCCCACGTTGTGTTCATATTCCCTCTCTCTCTCTCTCGCCTTCCCTTCACAGAGTTCTCTGACAATTGTTGGTCAATGACAGTCTAAGCTGGTGTGTGGGCTGAGGAAAGAGTTGCCGCTTGTCTTACCTTGCAGCTTCACCCACTCAGACACTGACTTCACACTTACCTGCTCTGTGGTATGGATTAAACCTGATATGGGTATTATCTTTAACTGTACATATACTGGTCCAGACCATTCCCAGGGTAAGCTGTATGAGAATGTGATACAACAGGATGGTGGAAATTGATTCAGATTCTTAGGGAACTTCAGGAACAATGATATCTCAATAATGATGGAGGGACTGAACCAAGAAGATGCTGGTCTTTATGAGTGTCATGTGAAGTTCAATATTGGCAGTTTTCAACCACAGTCTCCAACAATGCCGGAAGTGGAAGGTAAGGAACAATATCCAGATGGTGTCACTGCCCTGATAGCTCAATGGGGACGGGTTCCACCTGGTCCAGGAGCACTCGCATTGGCTCCTTCTCCTGGGCTCTTTCACTTGGTTTAAGGCAGGATGCAGTGACAAGGAGAGTGAGAGAGATGACGCGAGGATTTCTTGACCATTCCATCACCGTCTCTCAGAGACTTCATGCAGTCTCTCACAGACTGATTCATTTGCCATGTTCAAACTATCTTCAGCGTTCTGGGACAGTGAACAGAGAAAACATCACCAAGGATCCAAGCTCCAAGATCCTCACTGGTTCCATGAAGATGGTCCTGAGATTCAGACTTATTTTTCGATTTAGTTCTAGATTTCTTACAGTCATTGCATTTCAGTCAAATAAGGTTTTTATTTTGATTCATTTTTAATTCATTTATAGTAAAAAATGCAAAAGAAAGAAAAATTTGCATACATTTGTTTATTGTCAAAAATGCAAAAAGAAACAAAAACTTGCACAATTTTTTATCAAATGGAGTTCTGTTAACAGCCCTTTTGAATTGGCGTATATGTGGACGGTTCAACTTTTTATCTCTATGAAATTATATGTGTAGAAGAGACTAAAAACCAAAAGAATTGCGGATGCTGTAAATCAGGAACAAAAACAGAAGTTTCTGGAAAAGCTCAGCAGGTCTTGTAGCATCTGTGAAGGAAAAAACAGAGTAAACATTTCGGGACCGGTGATCCTTCCTCAGAACCAGTTGCCTCAGAACCTGCTGAGCTTTTCCAGCAACTGTGTTTTTGTTTCTGTGTAGAAGAGACCTTTTTTTAACATTGCTCAAGCGATTATTTTTTATGTCACAGGCATGAGGTTTCTTTTAAACAGAGTTGTGTTTCCAGAGCTTTTGGAGAGATCGACACGTGAACAGCTCTGGACTGGTTTTTTTTTAATCAGAAGATTAAAATCTATCTGCTAGACCACTTGAGTTGAGCAGGAATCATTTTTGCTTTTTTTAATTCGATTGTTCAGCTAAGTGGCTGATTTTATTGTTGATTTATATGCTTGACTTTATTTTAATCCTTTTTGCGTGCTTAATATTAATTCTTCGGCGAAAGAAAGGTAGTTTATTTTCTAGAAAAGGTACTAATGTAAGCTGCTTATTTTTATGCTTATTGACATTGAGGGCATACAAGACATATAGAGCTAGATGGCTCGTAGATTTAGAGAAGTGATTACACAGCGGGATCAGTCAGATCGATGGATGACTGCCAGGAAAGGTAAGAAGGTACTTCAAGTGATAGTTCCAGTGGCTATTCCTCTCTCAAACAGATACTCAGTTTTGGGTACCGTTGAATGGTTAGTCTCTCAGAGGAAAGTAGAAGAGACAGTCAGATCGTGGGCACGAAGAATGAATCTTAAGCTAGTCAGGCTTTCACTAAACGTAGAAGAATAATTGTTATAGGAAACTCTCCTGTCAAGGGCACAGACAGGAGATTCTGTGGCAGTAAGCAGGATCATTGGCAGCAGCATGGCAGCGAGAGTAGACCATTCATAGAATGGAGACTGCCCCCTTGCAGTCAGATGCAGCGGCAGCAGTAACGGCAGCACTTTTGCGCCTCCTCCTGGTGATTGGGTGTGGCAGTGACAGTGGCTGCCTATCTCCACCCTGCGACTGGCATGGCCAAGGCAGCAAAAGGCTCCCCACCGTGGCTAGGCCCAGGAGCCTGAATCGAAGGCTGAATGTTCCATACACATTTAATGAAATGAAATTCGAAAATCTGGGCATTTTTCTTTCTTTAGATCTGGACATGTTTCTATCCTTTTGGCTTTGTTTGTTTTACATCTGCTGTTGAATTTTTAATTCTGGATTTTGTAAAGAAAATGGCTTTGCTACATGGTGACTTTGTACACTTTTCACTGTGCTCCTTTGTGCCTATCCTTCAGTGCATGTGACACTAAAACGTAATTCTTATTCTAAGCAAATCTCAGGGAACTGTAAAACTAATAGGGTAATAACAGTGGGGGATTTCAACTTCCCCAGTATTTAGTGGGACGGATAAAGCTTAGAGGTGCCAGAATTCTCAAAATATGTCCAGGATGGATTTTGCTAACATACAGAGAATCCTACTAGAGACGGGGTGATGCTGGATTGAATTGTAGGAAACCACATGTGAGAGATTGATGTGTCAATGCGGAGCATTTTGGTGACAGGGACTATAAATCAGTAAGATTTCAGGTCATTAGGGATGCAAACAAAGTTCTGAATGGGGAGAAGGCTGGTTTTAATATGACAGAGTGAGACAGACAAAATGGCAATCTGTGTGTGGAGACAAAGTCGTAGGTGCAGGTTAAAATGAGTATTTCACATCTGTATTCATGAGAGAGAGAAGTACAGGTCTAGATATCAGGGATGGTGACTGTAATAAATGTGGACAAGGTCGCAGATAGAAGATGGAAGAAATAGTGGTTTTATCAGGCTAAATCCCAAGACCCAGATGAGATGCATCCCAGGATGTGTGGGCCAAGGGAAAGAATGCGAGGGCTCAGATATTAATTTTCAAATCCTTGCTGGCCAAAGGAGGGGTGTCAGAGGACTGAAGGACTGCTAAAATGGTATCATTATTTAAGAAAGGTGTTAGAGATAAACCAGGAAATTACAGGCCAATGGGATGGGGAAATTATTGGAAATAATTCTGAGGGACAGATGGGATCTTTACTTGGAGAGACTATGGTTATTCAAGGATAATCAGCATGGCTTTGTAAAGGAATTCAATTGAATTGAACTGGATTTATTTTTTTGATGAGTTGACTGAGTATGCAGATGAAGGTAATGTAGTTGATGTTGACTACATGGACTTCAGTAAGCTTCACTTAAGAATGTCTTACGCAAGTGGCTTTTTGTACATTTATTAGATAGGATTATTTCTGTCCCTCCAGAAAAGATATTAACATAAACTAACTCAGTGACGCTTTATAGCCCTCCTCCTTGGAGTTCTAAAATAGCTCCAGACTTATTTTCAGATCTGATGGTCAGGAGGTTTCCTTCCAACTAAAAATCTAGAAAAAAGGTATGACTTCCATCCTTCTGAACTCAACCTACTAGTGGTAATTAACTATCTGTTTCTACAGACCATATAACTCAACTGTATAAATATTCAGCAATTAAGTCCCCAGGTCACATAGCTTAAGGGATGCATTTTCTCAGAAAGATTGTTTACAGTTCACTGTTCCAAATCAGGTTCTGACCCTCATTTAAAAAAAAATGATTTACTGAACTGAAAACTAAAATCTATTTCTGTTCATGAGTGGATACAGTCTCTCTCTCATGACGCAATCCTGACTGCATCATGATTTCGACCATCTCAGTCAAATCTCCTGTCAGCCTTCCCTTTGGCTCAGATTCATTCTTAACCCAGTGATATAATGACCTCTCGTTATTTTGTTGGCTCCAATTGTGCAGTTCATAACAAGAAGAAGCATTCTAACTGTATCCAGTCTGTTAAAAGATTGCACAATTTGGAATATGTCTGTTAGATTATCACTGTGTTATGTTCTTCTCTTGGATGCAAAAAGAACAGACACAGACAGGATTGGTGGAACAATAATGTGAGTTTTGATTTGAAGGGAGTATTTTGATATTCTGGGAGGTTATGTTTATGGTAAATCTGACTTGTATTCCTGTTGCTTCAGACTGTCTAACAAGCTATGGGACTGGCCCATTGTATCCAGATGAATTATGTCGTTATTGACAGCAGTTTAAAGTTCATCCACTTAAAGGTATATGTTGTCACACCATCTCCTTTGTGATGAAGTGGCATAATTGATTCCCCAATTTCCCTTAAATGTTCATCTGGTGAATTAGGGTCCATTCGTGATAACAGCATCTGGCAATGACCTGCATAGACTGAAGGCTAAAACTGAAGTGACTTGTACCCAGAGATTTTTGAAGCACGGACATTGATTCCCCACTGGACAACAACAACGTCATACACATTGAACAGGACAGAATGAAATGATGCTCAATGTCAAAAACAAAAATAGGAATTGCTGGAAAAGCTCAGCAGTGGAGAGGAATCAGAGTCAACAGTTTAGGTTGAATGACCCTTCCTCAATATAGCCCAATGAGTTACAGTGCTGAAGCAAGAGTAAGTTGAACTAAAAGACACTGGAGAAGCTGCAAAAGAAAAATTGCCACGGATGACAGCAGGTCTGAGCATTCACGAGAAGATATCAACATGGAAGATTGTTGCTACATAGCCACCTCCTGAAGCAGTGAAGAAAGACAGGAACAGGTTATTGGTCAGCAGTTGTACTGAAAAGTGAAGGTTCTGTGTGACTCAATCAAATCCAAGTGACTGCTAGCAGATGGGAAACAATGGCATAGTAGTATTATCAGCAAAATGTTGATCTAGTGATCGAGAGAATGTTCTGTTGGTTGATATTCAAATCTCATCATGGCACGGTTTCATTTTTGTTTTCAAAAAATTTGCATTAAGAGTTTCATGATGACTGTAACTTCTCGGGAAGGAAATCTGCCATCCTCTTCTGTTCTGATCCACATGTGTCTCCAAACCCACAGCAATGTGGGCGATTCTGAACTGCCCTCTGAACAATTAGGGATGCACAATGAATGCTGACCCAGCCAGTGACATCTGCAACCAATGAATGAATGATAAAAACAAGGAGTCCATGGAAGGTAACAAAACCAAACCCATGTTGTCCTCAGGGTTCAGGGAATTTTTGATGACAAGCAATAAGATTGACTGCTCTGAGAGTCAAAATGTTCAGGAGGATTGTGGAGAGGATAGTCCAGCTTACAATCATGAGTCCCAAAGCCAGGTAATGCAACAGATTCAAGGAATAAAATGTCTTGGCAAAACTATAACAATGCAAAAGGAAACTCTTATAAAAAATAGAGCATTCGTGAAGAGGATTTAAGGAGAGGAAATCCTGAACAGACTCCAGCTCGTTGCTCCAGAATCGGGAAAGCTGACTGATGGAGAAGTTGAAAGTTATGAGAAGTCGTATAGGATAGACAAATAGCAATGTGGAGAGACCTGAAACTAGGAACTGCAAATATAACAGTCACCATCAAATCACCAAGGGATTCAGGGGAAGCTTCTGTCTGTAGGGAGTGTTTAGAATGTTGTACCTGCTTGTTCACCCAGTGTTTGACACAGTGACTATTGTTGTATTTAAGGGGAAGCTTGATTAAATCTTGAGGGAGGAAGCAACAGAGAGAAAAGCTGACAAAGTGAGAAAATGAAGAGTGGGGAGGTACTTGTGCAGAACACGATCATTGCCAAAGACCAATAGAGAGGATGGGCTGATTCTGCAAGTCCCAAGTGCATGGGCCTTCATTTGCTTTTAAGAATACTTAATAAGCACTGCAGGAATTTTTTATTCATTCATGGGGTTTGGATGTTGCGAGTCAGGCCAGCACTTCTTGCCCATCCCAAATCGCCCTTGAGAAGGCAGGGGTGATGAGCTGTCTCCTTGATGTTATAACCCTCACTGATGCATATCATAGAATCCCTACAGTATGGAAACAGGCCCTTTGGCCTAACAAGTCCACACCGACCCTCATACCATCCCAGCCAAACCCATTCTCCCTATAACCCACCTAATCTACACATCCCTGAACACTACAGGCAATTTAGCATGGCCATAGCACATCTTTGGACTGTGGGAGGAAACCGGAGCACCTGGAGACGCGGGGAGAATGTGCAAACTCCACTAGGACAGTACGCGAGGGTGGAATCGAACCCGGGTCCCTGGCGCTGTGAGGCAGTAGTGTTAACCACTTATGTTAAGTCAAACTGATTTCAAATGTGACAATGTTGTGATTGCTTTCCCTTCGAGAATCCTCAATTACAGCATCCCTTCATAATCTTCTATCATTACGCATTGCCAGATCTAAAATAATAGGATCCCAGGCTGATTCTGCAATGTGTTTCTCTAAGAAACAATCTCTTCTGCATTTTACACATTCATTTCCCTTGTTACCTTTGCCTGTCTAATTTGATGAGTCAATAAGCAGATTAAAATCACCATGACAATTATACTACTGATCTTGGACACCTCCACCATTTCTTGATTTCTATAATTTATCCTGCAGTGAAACAACATTTCTGCGGCCTACAAACAGCTCCCCGCAGTGACTTCTTTCCTTGAGATTCCTTATTTCCAGCCAAACCAATTCCACATCATGATCTCAGAGATAGTAGGAACTGCCGACTCTGGAGTCTGAGATAACAAGGCGTAGAGCTGGATGAACACAGCAGGCCAGGCAGCATCAGTGGAGCAGGAAAGCTGACGTTTCAGGTCTGGACCCTTCTTCAGAAAATGATCCTACCTCCTTTCACTATTTGAAATATTTTTCCAGACAGATAAAGAGTCCAAAGTTTTAATTTTTGAAGTCATTTCTTATCCTGGTGCTAATTTTTATGACACACTTATGTATATATTTTCTCCCCCTTTCTGTCAACTTTGATTGTCATTCAGCTCTCCACCACCCTGCATTCCCTGCTGTGTTGTTTTTTGTTTGATTTTTTTGAGAGGGAAGCTCATACAGTATGTAAAGATTATGAGTGCACAAATAGGGCAAATAAGAAGACACCTTTTTTTAATCAGTGGAGGCATCTGTAACTATTGAATATGGATTTAAAGTAAGAGATAGAGGGTAAGAGGAGAGTTGAGGAGTTAGTTTTTCACACAGAGGTTGATAAGAGTCTGGCACTCACTGCCTGAAAGGGTGCTTGAGTTAAAAATGCATGTAACATTTAAACACTATTTAGCTATTCAGTAGAGTTTCCAGTTGCCTCTTCAGTAGCCTGCATCACTGCTGTCTCATTTCTTTTTGATATTTTAAGCATCCCTGCAATTGAATCCCACCTCCCACCCCCACTCCTACTGCAGTAATTGTTTAAAGCAAAAAGTTGTTGGTAAAAAGGCATATGGACCAAGTGCCACAAAATGGGAGAAGTATAGTCAGAAGTAACGCAGTGTGGAACTGGAGGAGCACAGTGGGCCAGGCAGCATCAGAGGAGCAGGAAAGTTGATGTTTTGGGTCAGGACCCTCCTTCAGAAATGGGGGAGGGGGAAGGGAGCTCTGAAATAAATAGAGAGAGGAGGTGTGTGACTGAGGAAGGTAAGGGGGATGGTGATAGGTGAGTGCAGGTAGGCAGTGGTGGGGATTAGTCAAGTGAGGTGGGAGGAGTGGATAGGTGGGAGAGAAGACGTACAGGTTGTGTGAGGTCAAGGAGATGGGGATAAGAGGGAGGGTTGGTCATGGGATGAGGCCAGGGGTGGGGAGATTTCAAAACTTGTAAAGTCCACATTGATTCCATTGGGTGGTAGGCTCCCAAGGCTGAATATGAGATGCTGCTCCTCCAGTTTCCAGGTGGCGTCATTGTGACTCTGAAGGAGGCCCAGGATGGACATGTCGCCCAGGGAGTGGGAGGGGGAGTTGAAGTGGTTTGCGACTGGAAGGTGTTGTCATTTGTCGTGAACAGAGCGCAGATGCTCTACAAAGACTCCGAGCCTCTGCTTGGTCTCACCAACGTAGAGGAGGCCACATTGGGAGGCAAATGCCTTTAGTCTCATTATTGTTACTTCTCAGTCAGGTATGCTCCAAGATCTCTCTGAAACCCGGTTGCATCTGCAGTATTCAGTATCTCCCCTCACTCTCTGGAAAGTCACATGAGTTTCTGTGGGCTCTGTCCCACTTGGAGCTCTGATGGGAATCTTTGGGCAACTTCATTTTTTTGTAAAGCAAATGATTGCTCCCTGATGAAGAAACCACGGTTAAGGAAAAGGCCAGGCAGCAGACAGGATTTGAAAGGTCAGTCTTAGAAAGTGCTTCTTGTAACCCTACACTGAGACTGACAGGAGGACTGCAGAAAGACAAACAAGTAGAGACCTCATAATCAAAACTTCAGCTTTTCACCCTTCTCACTCGCTTACTCTTGTTCTTTTACAGAAAAATGCAGAAGTTACTGCTCTTCCTGGGCGCTACCGAAGAACTGTTGATCAACTTAAGTGGTATGAACAAGAAATGGGAAGTCTGTGTGCGGTCAATAGCAACTGAGAGAATGTCAAAACTGTTGTAAAACTAAAGCACCAACTCCTGCAACAGTTGAGAAAATGAGAGCTTGCATCAGCTTCCAACACATTCCTCAAAATCCTCAGTGTTGACATCAGACACTCTGAGAGCTGGGGCAGCATGGTTTTAGAGAGAGAATAAATCTCCCTCTACACTGTCCCCATTCCTCAGCAAACACTCCCAGGTCAGGGAAAGCGTGAGATTAGAGGCAGAGTAAAATTTCCTCGACTTTTTTAAAATGAAATTAAAGCTCTGTCAACACTGTGTCCATCAACCACTCCCAGGGCAGGATCAACACAGGATAAGACACAGATTTAAGCCCCCACTTCACTGTACCCATCAAATAGTCCCAAGGCAGGGAAAGCACGGGTTTGAATACAGAGTTAAGCTCTCTCTACATTGTCCTCATCAATCACTGTCAGGGCAGGAACAGCTCCTTCTCTCTGGTAGCTTAGACCTCCATATGTTTGTTTTTTATTTATTTGTGGAATGAGAGCTTTGCTGGCTAGGTCAGCATTTATTGTCTAACCCAAATTGCCCAGAGGGCAGTTTATTGTCAACCACATTGCTGTGGGTCTGAAATCACATGTAGGCCAGACTAGATTAGGATGGCACTTTTCTTCCCAAAAGGACACCCGTGAACCAGATGGGATTTTCCTACAGTCAACACTGGATTCATGGCCATCATCACACTCTTAATTCCAGACACTTATTGAATTCAAATTCCAACATCACCTTGGCAGGAGTCAAACCTGAGTCCTCAAAACATTACTTGGGTCTCTGGATTAACAGTCCAGCGATAAGACCACGAGGCCATTGCCTCCCGTCTGTATTGCTGAAGGGAGAGTGACTGGAGACACAGATGGAAGCTGCTGTCCTGGACCTTCTGTCCTGAGCGTACAACGTGGGGATTAGGGCTGATCTAGTATTACAGATCTCTGGAAAGTTAATTACAAATCTATGTGTAGACAGATGCAAATTCAGTGAGTCTGGTTTGTGTTGACATTATACACACACAGAGACACACACACACACACACACGTACACACAAACACGCACATACACACATATATACATACGCACATGTGCACGCACACACACAGCCACACACACTCATTTATTTTTTGTTCTTTTAAAAGCAACCAAAGGATTTAACAGTGCAACAAGTTCTGTTCTGACTGCTAAAGCCACTGTGTGGTCTGCATGTAATTTCTGCAGTTCCACAGTTTCCTTCTCAGAGCCCCGATCCCCGATGCTTTGGGCAATATCTTGTGTCTTTTTAGCTAAGTCCAAGTTTTTTGTAGCATTTTTACCTGTCTCTCTCTCTCTCATTCCAAGGGGAAATCAGCCTGCAATAGGGAAGAAAGTCAAGACTCAAGGTGTGCTGCTGATCATTCGCCTCCTCAGTCCTTATGTGGACAGCATCCTGACTCTGACTGCCCTGAGCAGTGCCTGTACATATCAGTAGTTGCACTTGGCTCAGTGTGCGAGGAGACCCCCCAGAAAGGCCGTCACCCTGACCCAACTGCTGATGACTGACAACAATTACAAGCTTCTTATGTCTGTTCTAACTCCATAACAAGACAGCAGTAATATGAGCGCGGTATCTCTGGCTGAAGGAGCAAAGTGCTAAAAGGCAAATCAGGGATATTGTGAGCATTCAGGGGTATTGTTAAGGAGGGAATTCCAGAATATTGACCCAGCAACACTGAAGGAATGACAATATGTTTCAAGGCCAGAATGGTGAGTATCTTGGAGAGGGACTTGCAGGTAGTGCTATTCCCAAGTATCTGCTGACCTTGTGCTTCTAGATGGAAGTGCCCAAGGGTTTTGAAGGTGCTGTCTCACGATCTTTGGTGAATTTCTACAGTGCATCTTGCAGATAGTACTCACTGCTGCTTTTGAGTGTTGGTTGTGGAGGGAGTGGATGTGGATGTGGTGCCCATCAAGTGAGCTGCTTTGTCCTGGATACAAAACTGACTTCATCATGGAAGACAGAATGTAGCGTGGGAAAGGTGTTTTTCAGAATGGAGACCAGTAATTAGTAGCATTCCACAGGGATCAGTCTTAGGTCCTCTGTTGTTTATAGTATATATAAATGATATGGAGGAAAATGTGGGTGGTCTGATTAGTAAGTTTGCAGATGACAGAAAGATTCGTGGAGTTACTGATAGTGCCAACGATTGTGAAAGGATACAGCAGGATATCGATAGATTGGCGACTTGGACACAGAAATGGCAGATTGAGTTTAATGCAGACAAAAGAGAGGTGATGCATTTTGGTGGATCAAATTTAGGTGTGAATTATATTGGTAATGGCAGAACCCTTAGGAACATTAATATACAGACAGATCTAGGTGTGCACGTCCATGGTTCCCTAAAAGTGGCAACGCAGGTGGCCAGGATGATTAAGAAGGCATATGGCATGCTTGCCTTCATCGGCCAGGGCTTAGAGTACAAGAGTTGACAAACCATGTTGCAGCTATATAAAAACCTTGTTAGGCTGCATTTGAAGTATTGCGTGCAATTTTGGTCGCCACATTACCAGAAGGTAATGGAAGCTTTGGAGAAAGTGCAGAGAAGGTTCACCAGGATGTTGCCTGGTCTCGAGGGCATTGGCTATGAGGAAAGGTCGAAGAATCTTGGATTGTTTTCAATAGAAAGATTGGAGCTGAGAGGAGACCTGATAGAGGTTTACAAAATTATGAGAGGCATAGAGAGGGTGGATAGTGAGAGGCTTTATCCCAGGTTGAAGTTTCAACTACAAGGGGCCATAGGTTCAAGGTGAGAGGGAAAGTTTAAGGGAGATAGGCGAGGGATTTTTTTTGTGTAGAGAGTGGTAGGAGCCTGGAACACTCTGCAAGAGGAGGTGGTGGAAGCAGGCACACTGGCAACATTTAAGAAGCATCTGGATCGTAATATGAATAGGGAGGGAATAGAGGGATATGGACTGAACAAGGGCAGAAGGTTTGTTTTTTAGTTTTAGTTAGGGAATGATGATTGGCACAGGTTTGAAGACCGAAGGGCTTATTCCTGTGCTGTACTTCTCTTTTGTTCCTTTTGTTCTCTTTTGTTCTCATTCTATACATGCACCACCCTATGTGTGAAAAAGTTGCCTTTCAGTTCCCTTTCAAATATTTCCCCCCGACATTAACTTATTCCCTCTAGTTTTGGAATCCCCTACCCTGGGGAAAAGATCTCCGCTATTCACCCCATCCATGCCCATCATGATTTTATAAACTCTATAAAGTCAACCTTCAACCTCCTACACTCCAGGGAGAGATGTCCCATGCTACCCAGCCTCTCCTCAATAACATCCTTGCTATAGTAGTGTGATCAGAATTGTACGCAGTACTCCAAATGTGGCCTTACCACTGTCTTGTACAGTCATAACATGATGTCCCAACTCCTGAACTCAATGCTGTGACCAATGAAGGTAAGTGTGCCAAATGCCTTATTTACCACCGTGTCTACTTATGATGCCACTTTCAAGAAACTATGTATCTGTGACCCTGCATCTCCTTGTTCGACAACACTCCCCAGGGCCCTACCATTAACTGAGAAAGTCCTCCCCTGGTTGGTCCTGCCAAAATGCAACACCTCACATTTATATATATTAAACCCCTGTTGCCATTCCTTGGTCCACTGGCCCAGTTGATCAAGATCCCATTGCACTCTTGGATAAGCTTCTTCACTTTGCACTGTACCATCAATTTTGGTGTCATCCGCAAACTTATCAACCATGCATCCTATATTCTCATCCAAATCTTTGCGATAAATGATGAACAACAATGCACCCAGCTCCTATCCTTGCAATGCATCTCTTATCTTAGCCCTCCCATGTGAACATTAACCTTCTACCACCACCCTCTGTATCCTACCTCAAAGCTAATCTTGCATCCAATTGGCTAGGTATCCCTGGATCCTATGTGATCTAACCTTATGACCAATCTGCCATGTGGAGCTTTGTTGAAGGCCTTGCTAAAGTCCAGGTGGACTATGTCTCCAGCTCTGCCTTCATCTGGTCATCTTTTCAAAAAACTCAATTAAATTTGTGAGAAGCGATTTTCCACACAAAAATCCATGCTGACTAGCCCAAGCATGTCTTTACCTTTCCAAATGCTTGAGGATCATGTGTCTCATAAACTCTCCAACTACTTACTAACCACTGACGTTAGGCTCGCTGGTCTGTTGTTCCCTGGCTTTTCCTTGCAGCCTTTTTTAAATAATGGCACAACATTAGCCAACCTCCAGTCTTTGACACCTCACCCAAAGACTGTTAATAATACAAATATCTTTGCTAGAGGCCCCACAATTTCTTCCTTAGCTTCCACAATGTCCTGGGACACGTTAGATCAGGTCGTGGGTATTTATCTCCCTTTATGCATTTTAAAACTTCCAGCACCTACTCTTCTGTCATATGACTCTTTTCAAGTCATCACTAATTATCTTCCTGAGTTATCTAACTGCCATGTCTTTCTCCACGATAAATACTGACGTGAAATATTCATTTAGGATTATACGCATCTCCTGTGATTCCACACACAGATGGCCTCGTTGATCATTAAAGAGCCGTAGTCTCGCCCTAGTTAGTCTTTTCCCTTAATTTACTTACAGAATTTCTTTGGATTCTCCTCTACCCTTTCAGCCAAAGCTATCTCATATCCCCTTTTAGCCCTCCTGATTTCCCTCTTTACTGTACTCCTACACACTCCTCAAGAAATTAACTTGTTCCCAGCTGACTAGACATGGCACATGCCTCTTTCATTTTCTTGACCACAGCCTGAATATCTCTAGTTATCCAATATTCCCTGCTCCTGCCAGCCTTGCCCTTCACACTAATAGGAACATGCTAGCTCTGAACTCTTGTCATCTCGCTTTTGAAAGCCTCCCACTTGCCTGCCATCCCTTTACCTGCAAACAGCATGCCCCAATCAACTTTTGAAATTTCCTTTCTAATAACATCAAAATTGGCCTTACCCCAATTTACAGCTTTAATTGTGAACAAGGCATATCCTTTTCCACAACTATATTATTATTTATCCAAAAGTACTCCCCCAGTAATACCTCAGTTACTTACCCTGCCTTATTTCTCAAGAGGAGTTTAAGTTTTGTGTGTTCTCTTGCAGGCCCATCAACATATTGATTGAGAAAGATTTCCTGAACACACGTGACAAATTCCTCTCCATTCAGGCCCTTAAAACTATGGCAATCCCAGTCTATGATCGGAAAGTTAAAATTCCCTAATTTCACAACCTGTGATAGAGACCAACTTGAGAAAGTTTGGGTTGATAAATAAAAGTGCAAACAAACCAGTTCACAGAATCCCTACAGTGTAGAAACAGGCCCTTCGGCCCAACAAGTCCACACTAACACTCAGAGCATCCCACTCAGACCCATACCCCTATGAACCACCTAATCTACACATCCCTGAACACTACAGGCAATTTAGCACTGCCAATCCACCTAACCTGCACATCTTTGGACTGTGGGAGGAATCCAGAGCACCTGGAAGAAACCCACACAGACACGGGGACAATGTCCAAATTCCACACAGACAGTTGCCTGAGGCTGGAATTGAACCGGGGTCCCTGGTGCTGTGAGACAGCAGTGAGCCACCATGCCACCTGCTATGGAGAAATGTTTTTTGAGCAAGTCAATTGAGTTTTTTAATGTGAGATAGCATTGATGAGGGTCATGTGTTTGGTGTCATGCACGTGGAGCTAGATACTCAAAGGACAAATAGCTGAGTCATGGAAACATAGGATCATAGGATTTTACCGCACTGAAGGAGGCCATTCAATACATGATGTTTGTACTGCCTCCTGAAATCCCTACCCAGCCAGTCCCATTCTGCAGCCCTATCTCTGCAGCCCTCTATATTCATCACTTTCAACTAAATATCCAGTTCTCTTTGAAGCCTCCTATGTCATCTGCCTCCACCTCTCTCCCAGGCAGCACTTTACAAATCCTACGAATTGAAGAAATGAGGTTGCTCAGTGCAAAGGTGGTACAGTACCCGGGACTTTATCCCAGTTGTTTTTTTTAAGCATTTTGCACCTCTATATGTCATTCTACACACAGCCCACACACATCCCATGCACATGATAGAATCAGAATTAGAATTAGAATTAGATTTTATTTTCACATATCCTCAGGTGCAGGGATATGGGAGTACAGTGAAAAGTGTACGAAATCACCAAACCCGACGCCATCTTTGGTACAAAGGTGCCTCGGTGCAAAATCTTAGGTACAAGTTGGAAAGATAGAAAAATGAAGTTAAAAGTTCAACATTACAGTCCTTTCTTAGTAAAAGGTAGAAAAATAAGAAATAAAGTTAAAAGTTCTACATTAGTCTTTTTCTTAGTACTTGGTAAAAAATAAAGCAATAAATTTAAAAGCTCAACATTACAGTCCTTCGTATATGCTTAGCAATCTCTTACCAACCCAGGAAATCTTTCAACCCCCTGTTGCTCATCCTAAACTCTCTGCCAACCCTCATATCCTCCCACCATTTCCATGGACCCTTAGATCGTCTGTAACAACTTGCTGCCAACTCATGTTCCTACTCAACCCCATTGCTTCTTAAAACTGTGTGAACTAATGACCCCATCCCCTCCCACCCACCTCTATCATCCCCTAGAGCCTCCATACCAACTTATGGTTTCCAACTACCACCCTTTGCCCTTTGCAAGGGATTTCAGAAAAAGCAGGAAAGTGGAGTTGAGGATTATCAGATCAGCCATGATCTTTTTGAA